CCTGGTGCTCCAGGTTCCCTGAGATGCACATACTCCTTGACTCAGGAATCCCGCTGCTGAGAATGTATCCTACAGGTACTCATATTTGCAAAATGATAAGTGTGAGGCTATTCACTACGACACCATCTGAAACAGCAAAAGATAGGAAGCAGTATTAATTAACCAGTCATCAACAGAGGACTGGCTAAGTCAACTCTGTAGACACATGCAATGGAATATGAAGCAGCCAATAGAAATGACGAGGCAGCTGAACCTATGGAATGTTTTCTATTCTGGATTGCTAGAGGAAAAAGCAAGGGTAGAACAACGTGCACAGATAGTATGCTTCCATTTCTGTAAAGAGACACATGTACCCATGCATGTCACTCATATGTGGACAGAGGTCCCCGGAAGGACACAAAGACACTCTGGAGTTGCCTCTGGGAAGGGAACTGGGGGCTGAGGAATGGGGGCACTTACTTCAACCTGAAAGCACTCCAGTAGCATTTGAGTGTATGCTATTCACACATTGCTGTGGTCTGAATGTTTATGTCCCCCAAAATTCTTTTTTTTTTTGAGTTGGAGTCTCACTGTCGCCCAGGCTGGAGTGCAGTGGCACGCTCACAGTCACTGCAGCCTCAACCTGCTGGGGTCAGATGATCCTTCCGCCCCAGCCTTCCAAGTAGCTGGAACTACGGGTACACATCACCACACCTGGCTAATTTTTTTGATTTATTGTAGAGACAAGGTCTCCCCAAGTTGCCCAGGCTGGTCTCAAACCCTGGGCTCAGGCAATCCTCTCACCTTGGCCTCTCAAAGTGCTGGGATTACAGGCTGAGCCACCGAGCCTGACCAGCCACAAACATTTCTTATGGTTCTGGAGGCTAGGAAGTCCAAGAGCGATTCAGCAGATTCAGTGTCTGGTGAAGGCCCACTTCCTGGTTCACAGCCGGTGCCTTCTCATTGTGTCCTCACTTGGTGGAAGGAGAAACAGGCTCCCCTAGGCCTCTTCTTTAAGGGCACTAATTCCATTTAGGAGTAGTCCGCCTTCGTGATCTGACCATCTCCCAAAGCCTCACCTCACCTCTCCCATCACCTTGGGGGTTAGTAGTTCAACATAACCCAGCTTGGGTGAAGGAGTGAGGCTCCAACTCAAAAAAAAAAAATAAAAGAAATGTTGCTTATAAGCCACCCAGTTTATATTTCTGTTATAGCAGCCCAAACAGACTAAAATTTACTTGAATTATTTTAAAATCTCCCCACCCCCACACCCAGGATACAGAAATAAGTTATAAGTGTGGGAGTGAGGAGCTGAGGAGGGCTGTTCCAGCCAAGAGTCTCCAAAGTTTATTTCTTATACACAAACAGTAAAAGCTTGAAGCATACATACCTCCAACAACTACATGTTGTTAAGCTATGACAAATGCCATTCTTTATTTATTTATTTATTTTGAGTTGGAGTCTCACTCTGTCACCCAGACTGGAGTGCAGTGGCTGCTCCCAGCCACTGCAGCCTCAACCTGCTGGGCTCCGGCGATCCTTCTGCCTCAGTCTTCCAGTAGCTGGAACTACAGGCATGCACTACCACGCCCAGCTAGTTTTTTGATTTATTGTAGAGATGAGGTCTCGCCAAGTTGCCCAGGCGGATCTTGAACCTGAGGGCTCAGGCAATCCACTCACTTCAGCCTCCCAAGGCGCAGGATTACAAGTTGAGCCACCAAGCCCAGCTAATGCCATTCTTATAGATAAAAAATGATAGAATAGCAGCAATTTCTTGTGGTTCAACCATGTATTTATTTATAAATTATCTATGTGTATTAATGAACTAATATTTACCTATATTATATAACACAAAGCGAGGAACTAAATAAGGCGGAGCCTGAAAGTGAATATAAATCAAAGGCCTAATCTTTTCTTCCCACAACCCCTCCCCCAGCCATCCCACACCCTCAGAGACCACTGCCCCAAGTGAGGATCCAAGTCACCTCCACTACCACCCACTTCAGTGGTGATAACTTTTCCTCTACAGAAGCAGTTTTTCAAAATGAAAAGGCTGTTTTTCAAACCATAAAGCTTACCACTTAGAAAATGCAGACATGGTAACACTACTTTAGACTGACAGGCTGGGCTGGGTGACATGCACCTGTAATCCCAGCTACTCGGGAGGCTGAGGCAGGAGGATCACTTGAGCCCAAGGGCTTGATACCAGCCTGGGCCAAAAAGCAAGACCCTCTGAAAAAAATTACTGAAACAAAACAAAAAACGGACTGACACAGTAATAAGAATTCTCATGGCTAGGTTTGGTGGTTCAGCCTGTAATCCCAGCACTTTGGGAGGCCAAGGCGAGTGAACTGCCCGAGCCTGTAGGTTTGAGACCAGCCCAGGAAACTTGGTGAGACCTCATCTCTAAAATAAATAAAAAGTTAGCCAGGCATGGTAGCACGTGCCTGTAGTTCTGGCTAATTGGAAGGCTGAGGCGGAAGGAACCTGGAGCCCAGCAGGTCGACGCTGGAGTGGCCATGAGTGTGCCACTGCACTCCAGCCTGGGCGACAGTAAGACTCCAACTCAAAAAAAAAAAAAGAATTCTCACGAGCATGTACCTTACATGCAGATCACCTTTCTGGGCACTAGAACAGCATCCTAAGAGAAGTAAATGGGTACAAAGCAGCACAATCCTGCTCTCTCTCCACACCTCACACAAACCAGTGCAGTACCCTGTAGTTGGGGCTTCTGATGCAAATTTTTTTTTGGCAGAGTCTCACTGTTGCCCAGGCTGCAGTATAGTGGCTATTCACAGGCACAATCACAATGCACTGTGATGTCAAACTCCTGGCTTCAAGGGAAGTCCTGCTTCAGCCTCCCAAGCAGCTGGGACTATAGTTGCACACCACTACATCCATCTCAATATGAATTTTTAAGTGTAATATTGCCTCAGAAATTTTTTTTTTGAGTTGGAGTCTCACTCTGTCACCCAGACCAGAGTGCAGGGGCACATTGCTGGCCACCGCAGCCTCGACCTGCTGGGCTCAGGCGATCCTTCCACCTCAGCCTTCCAAGTAGCCAGAACTACAGGCACGCGCTACCACACCTGGCTAAGTTGCCCTGGTGGGTCTCAAACCCGCGGGCTCTGCCAATCCACTCGCCTCGGCCTCCCAAAGTGCTGGGATTACAGGCTGAGCCACCGAGCCCGTCCTCAGTAATGTGGAGTAAGGCTGAAGGGCACAGGAGACAGAATAAATGCAAAAACTAAGTCAAAGAATGTTTCAAAACAACATAACTACCTTCATGCTTAGGCTATTTAACACTCATTTTAATTCTCTGATTTATTGCATAAAGATGTCAAGAATACTCTTTATAGATTACTTACTCCAGCACCCAAAGGCTCAAGTTTGAAGTTGGACATCATGCTGATGCCTGCTTCCCACTCTTTCAAAGCAAGAGATTTTCTTCTAGACAAGCAATATGAACTCAGCCGTGGGGAGAATGTTTGCTCTGTGTCATTACTGACCGTTGTCTCACAGTGCGGAGGCTCCTAAGACACGACCTCTCCACATCGGTGCAGCAGCCTCGGAATCCTCGTGTTCTCAAATCACACTGGCCCTGTCCAAATCCGTAAGCTTCTCTGCAGGCCCTTCCTGAGGCCCCACGCGGCTTTTCATCTTTTACTTTGTAGGTTGCGCCTGCTCTCCATCTTCAACGTGTAGAGTCTGACAGTGTTTAGAACATTTTGAGTATAAATAGAATGAACTACTTCCCCAGCTGCATGGAGGAACACACTCGGGACTGCCCATGAAGCTTTGAAGCAACACCATCCTCTCAGTTTAAGACCAAGATCCCCTCAATCCTCCCAGTCCTTCTTTTGGTCCCTCTGGAGAAGAAATACAAGGGAAGGAAGAACACATTGTGCAAATCAACTTCTTGCAACTTGATTCTAGTTCTCTAAACCAATTGGTTTTCTATCCCTACAGCATGTCGCAAAGTACTGTTCTCAATCCAGCTGAACTGGTGAATGCGTACCCAGAATGATGTTCCTTCTCAGTGGACCCAGCAGACAACTGCCACCTAAATTCATATGTTCATCCGTGTCAGCACATCTGTTCCTCTGATTAAAGACTTGACCAAAGTCTACCTCACCCTCTTCTATTTTTATTTGAGTTGGCGTCTCACTCCGTCTCACAAGCTGAAGTGCAGTGACATACTCATGGCCACCTCAGTGTCGACCCACTGGGCTCAGGCGATCCTTCTGCCTCAGCCTTCCAAATGGCCGGAACTACAGGCACGTGCTCCCATGCCTGGCTAATTTTTTGACTTATTGTAGAGACGAGGTCTCACCAAGTTGCCCAGGCTGGTCTCAAACCTGTGGGATCAGGCAATCCTTTCACCTCAGCCTCCCAAAGTATAAGATTACAGACTGGAGCCACTGTTTAAATTTTTTTTTTTTTTTCTTGAGTAGGAATCTCACTTTGTCACCCAGGCTAGAGTGCAGTGGCACGCTGCTCACAGACACTGCAACCTTGACCTGCTGGGCTCAGGGGATTCTTCTACCTCAGCCTTCTAAGTAGCTGGAACTACAGGCATGTGCCACCATGCCCGGCTACCTTTCTGATTTATTGTAGAGATGAGGTCTTGCCATGTTGCCCAGGCTCTTGAACTTCTGGCCTCAAGCAATCCTGCTGCCTAGGTCTCCCAAAGTGTTGGGATTACAGATGTGAGCCACCATGTCCGGCCTTAAATAATATCTTTCTAAGCGTAGTACTACTTTATCTCTAGCAATGTCAAACTATGAGAGCAAACAATATGTTAAGGTCTGCTGTGTGCTTCCCTTGGAGTTAAGGAAACTGCAGGCATCCCACTCCTCCCTCCTGGAAAAGGAGACAGACAAGGATAGAGAATGCTTCTGCGATTTTTTTTTTTTAAAGAAAATTCTGAAAAACTCTGACATTGGAGTTCTGCTACCAAAGACATAGTCAAAGACATCTAAATAGTCACAGAGTCAAAAACAACAAAACAAAACAAAACAAAACCAAAAAACAACCAGAAGTTTATTTGAGAACAAGAGTAAAAGCTTTTGCACACTGACAGGTAGACTTGTTTTGACAGTAGATGCCATCCATGTTCAGCTCTACCAAGAGTATCACAAATGGAACATACTGTTTCCTACAAAGAACGGGCATAAGGACTATAACTAATCAGAGTCAAAGGAAAGGTCAGGCCCCAAATCTTAACCCTTACAATGATTCATACATAGGACTGAAATTAAACCATTAGGTCTCCTAACGTAGTGGTCCTCAACTTGGCTCCTTATCAGAATCCCAGGGTCTCATGAAAGGAAATCCCAGTAACTAGGCTGTACCCCAAAGTCTCTGGGGGTAGACCTCAGGCACTGATATTTTTTTAAGCTTCCAGGTGATTTCAATGTGCAGCCGAGGCAGATCACCAGGGCACTCGAGACAGGCAGCAATTACCAGCATATTCCTCGGTCCATCAGCCCCTCTAAAGATGGGAGATCTGGTGGTAACACTGGCTCCCACTGATGCAATCTTTCACTCCACTCAAGAACTCCACACATTATCAGGTTTTTGCATAATTTTGAGCCTTTCCATATGCCATGTTGATTTTTACAGCAATATTTAATTAGGCAAATACCAGCAAAGAGAGAAAATATATATATATATATAAAAGAAATTTCCATAAGGCATGATATGAATAAATAAAATAAGTGAAAAACCAGTCTCAGGTTTAAAAGTAAAGTATGAGAAGCCAAAGCCTGTGAAATTTTATTTATACAAAAGAATAAAAAATAGCTATTTTAAAAGGATTGGTTTAAACTTGTGGTTTTCCATTTTTCCTGTTCCTTGAACATGAATCTGCTTCCAACTCAGAAAGATTTAAGATAGGTAATTACTAAATAAACACTCTTTACCTCCTCTTGCAAAAAACCACAGAGCCAAGTTTCCCATTTTACTTATGATAAGCCAGATTATTTTCAGTTAAGAATATTGGCAACTGCATGAAACAGATTATCAGATATGTCAGTGGGAAGGCATGAACTGTACAAAGGCATTACAAAAAGTCCCAAAAGAAAATAAGATGGTAAAAACAACAATAGAAAAATAAGAACACACAAAACAAAATAAGAACATGCCAGATATTTACAGCCTCCATCTGAAATGACTTGTCATCTACTTTTAGCATAAAACAAAACCAGAGAACATTTCTCGATGGGAATCACAGATGAAGCTGGTGCCAGCCAGTTTGGGGGAAGACATTCATTCTAAGAAGGGAGAAATGCACAGTTAGCAATTTGCTGGGATTACAACCATGTCTTGGTCTTCCTGAAGTTCTGTTACTAAAAATGACACAAAGTAAATGATCCAATGTCTTACAGAAATGACTTGTTTGTCACCACATTTAGAACAAACTACTTAGAGTCACAGGCACTGGGTCCGGGAGAGCAGAGGTGGATGGCCACGCACTCAGGTGAGGGATGTTTATCTTTGTGAGGTCGGAGAAGGGAAGCAGGGCTCTATAGCCTGGAAGCTTCTGCACTAATGCATCTTCTAATAGTCCTAAAGAGAGAAAAACAAAAGTGCCAACTTACTTTCAGCAGAACACTGGTTTGATCTTAAGGGGGAAAAAATCTCATAAACAATTCTGCTAGGGCATAGTTCTATAGCTAAAGATTCTATTTCAAATGCAATGTACAATATTTTATATCTGAAAATGGCCAGTCTTCTGAGTCCACAAAGGGATTGAAACATCAATTATGCTCTTATTAAACCATCTGAACTCACTGACAGTCAAAAACAAGAGCCAGTATTAAGTAACAATCTATTTATTTATTTATCTATTTATGTATTTATTTTAAAGATATAGGGTACAATTCAGGGTTAGGTATAAAATGTTCATTATGCAGGTATTTTTATTTATTTTTATTTTTTTGAGTAGGAATCTCACTCTGTCGCCCAGGCTGGAGTGCAGTGGCACACTCATGGCCACCGCAGCCTTGAGTTGCTGGGCTCAGGTGATCCTTCCGCCTCAGCCTTCCAAGTAGCTGGAACTACAGGCACGCAACACCTCGCACGGCTAATTTTTTGATTTTTGTAGATATGAGGTCTCACCATGTTGCCCAGGCTGGTCGCGAACCCATGGGCTCAGGCAATCCCCTCACCTCGGCCTCCCAAAGTGCTGAGATTATAGGTATGAGTAACTGCATCCGGCCTGTAATAATTTATTTAAACAAAGGGAATGCTTCTTCAGTAAAAATGTACATGAGGCGAGAGGACTGCATGGGCCCAGGGATTTGACATCAGCCAAGGCAACTTGGCAAGATCTCAGCTCTACAATAAATTTAAAAATTAGTTGGGTGTGGTGGTGCATGCCTATGGTTCCAGCTACTTGGAAGGCTGAGGTGGCAGAATCATTTGAACCCAGCAGGTCGTGGCTGTGGTGGCCCTGAGTGTGCCACTGCACTCCAGCCTGGGTGAGAGAGTGAGACTCCAACTCAAAAAAAAAAATACATGACCTCTGTCTCTCTCCAAAATATAACAAAAAGTAAATAACACCTAAAAGGTGAGATATATCCAGATGGACACTCCAGACTTTAAAACAAGAGCTATGACCTCAGGTTAGAAGCATTCAAGCTCTGAAGCTGAGCGCAGAGGCTCACGCCTGTAACCCTAACACTTTGGGAGGTAGAGGCAAGAGGACTGCCTGAGCCCAGGGGTTTGAGACCAGCCTTGGGCAACTTGATGAGACCTCATCTCTACAATAAATAAAAAATTTAGCCGAGTGTGGTGGCGCATGCCTGTGGTTCCAGCTACTTGGAAGGCTGAGGCAGAAGGATCGCCTGAGCCCAGCAGGTTGAGGCTGAGGTGGCCGTGAGCGTACCACTGCGCTCCAGACTAGATGACAGAGACTCTGAACAAAAAACAAAAAATAAACCAGGAACACTCGGTTTCTGAAGACTAATACATTTTTCTATCTATAAAACTACTAGTCTCTGCAGTGGTCTGGCTAATACTTACAGCTCGTGGTTTTTTGTTTAACTTCAGATCAATCCTGTGATAGGAAAGATAAAAGATATTTGCATTTTAATGTACAGAAAATGGGTCCAACAATTAGCTACTGCATAGGGCACAAGCTATAACAAAGACTATTTGGTTAAGTAAAATCCTCATTCTTCATTAGACTATGCCATATTTAGTTGTTTACCCAGATATTATTAGGCAAATATTAAAAATTACGAGCAGATTCTCTTGCCATAAGGCAAATGTAGATCACTCTAAAAAGAAATGTATATAGCAGTCATAGCAGCCATCTCATCTTTAAAAAATATTCCAAAATTACAAGTTAAAGAGACTGAATTAAGAGGGCATGCTCTACGTGTTAGCTCTGTAACTATATCACTGAAAATTACTGAGACACATAGTGACTAGGAGCAGGAAAGAGACAGGAGTTTGTATTTCTGGACACAAAACACAAAAGAAATGAAATAACTTTCAATTTTTAAATCTTTCCAAAGCAAAATATCAAGATCTTAATGATTAATCTCCTTATAAAGCAAAGCCAGAAAAATCAATTTAAATATGAATTAAAGTAAAGGTTATCTATTTTTAAAAGAAATTAAAATGCATAAAAGTGAAGTTTACTTAATTTTGCTTAAGTTATTAAATAAAATGTTACCTCCATCACGTTTTTCTGTTTTTAAAAAAAACTTCCCAGCCTAACCTAATATACATACCTACAATTAAACAGATAAACTATGGGTTAGAAAGGTCTCAAAAAGGCATACTGATGTCTACACACTAAACAACACAGCATAAATACTAATTCAAATAAAACTTACTCAAAGTCATAATCAAACATGCCAGACGGGCTGAGGGGCAGCATTTGAAAGGAAGAAAGCAATAGAAATTAATATACTAATTGAATAAATTAGTTGATTAGCCACCCTAGCAAGAATTGTAGAAACAAAATCAGCTTTAAGAATTTTAAGCAACAGTTTCAAACATCAAAGCACCAAAGATTTTGTGGTCAGAAGATTCCCTTCCCACAGTGGATTTCATATCAGAAGAACAGACTATGAAAGGAAGTTATTTCATTAGAAAACTACAGATACCCAGAGTCCTTGTATTAGCTGCCAGATTTGGAGTTAGAATTTTTAAAATATTTAATTGTATTGAAAAATATAACCAGGGCATTAGAAGAAACAGAGGTAGGTTTAGTCATGTAACAAAAGGCACTTTGAAGACAGCACTAACGACTCAGCATAATATACTTTCACTAAAATAAAAGGTGACAAAAACATTCTAAACTTTAAAAAAGGATAAAACATTTTACAATTTTTTTATTCAAGTTATGCATTCTAAACATGTCCAGGAAACATGGTGTTCCTTGTCTATGGCATTCGTTATAGAAGCCAAGGGTTGAATGAATAAACCTCAGTGGCAGAGTCTTGTTGCAGAAACTGAGAGCAACATTACCCTGCCCTCTAAGTTAGTCATGGCAATAAACTGTCATGTTGGGGCTAATTACAATTCAGGAATATCAAAGTCTGCAGCACTTCTGTTAAAACAAAGGAAAGTTGGCATCCAAAAGCACCCAAGCCTTAGGGACTCGGATGGGAGCAGTACAGAGGAGATCACTTTGCACCGTAACTGGTCATAGACCATGGACTGGGCAGACCTCCAACACAAACATTAACCCGGAGCATGACACCTGCTCCTTAGCTGGCTCCAACGCCTTCAGACTACAGGCAGGTGGTAAAACAATATGCAAATAGCTATTTTCCTCCTAGACAATGTTTGCAAGAGTGAAGCTGGAAGAAAGCTTAATGTCAATATGCTTGACACAACAGTTTCACATAAAGACTTTGGGAAAGTATACAGTAAGTGTACTAATCAGGAATTGCCAAATATTTCACTTTCAGCCTGACTTAACTTTGTTCACAAATTAAAACAGATTGTACCTAGTTAATCAAAACTTTGCCAACTACTTACAAGAATTTTAGAGTTTAGTATAGTAGCAGAAACCTATAGGAGCAGGTAGGTATACATTATTATTTCAACATTTTCTTTAAAGACACCAGACTTATTGTTCAGTTATCATGTAAAACTAAAGAATTCAAAACACTATGATCACTTATGAATGCTAAAAATTATTTCATAAATGGTCATATTCCTGAAGAGGGCAAATTCAAAAGTTATTTCCTTAAGTGCCATATTTATGTCCACTTTGTTTTGTTCACCACTAAACAGTGCCTAGCACACAGTTAGTACTCAAACATGCTGAAATAATTAACTTTGGACGCTATTTGAGTATATAGAGTATGGCACACTGGAGGAGAAACACGTACTGTATGGGGTACAAACTTACCTATGTGTGTAGACAATGTGCTCCATCCCACCCTAACCTGTCAGTCCCACTAAGACATCAGTCGGGGGCAAGGGGCTTGGACCAGACACAATTCCTGACTAAAGATAGCAGGAATCCAAGAATCTTAGCTGGCCATTGACATGCCACTCAGGCACATTGACTCTGGCTTCCCTAGAAAGAAAGCAAATCAGCTCCACTCTCCTCCCTTGGGGCAGACAAGTGCCTAAGGCCAAGGGAGAAGATCAATTAGACATTAAACTAGAAGAAGAACAAAAGGACAGCAAGAAAAACCAGGATTCTGCTCTCCAAACAGAAAATAGCATTTGTGAAAGCAATAAGTAATATCAAAGACCTTTATAACTACTAGAATTTTTCTGGAAGGAATTAGCTACTAGGGCCAGGAGAATAAAGGGTAACAAGTGTTGTTCCTACGGAAATTTATTAAAAACCTTCAAGAAGAAAGTGACATTTAACACCTCTCCTTTTTGTCAGTCATCAGCTGATGTCATTAAAGGAAATGAGGTATTACCTGAAATAAACAACTATCTAGAAAGTCTATTGATCGGTAATAGGAAAAACATCCCAGAAACTTTCAAGGAGTTTCCTCCCTACTCTAGACACTATAAAATAAAAGAATGATTACCTTAAAATGACACTGGAGTAAATTTAATAAAGGCAACACAGAGCAAAACATTAAAAAAAAATTTTTTTTAAAGAGTATGTTTGTCTGCTGTTTGTGATAAGCTAGCACCAGTTTTACACAGAAGTCAAATAACTTACAGTCTACGTATATATAAACACATACACGTGTGTATATATATGTGTGTGTGTGTATGCAATTTTTGCTATTTCTTACTACAGTTATGTAATTAACATAGTGACTTCTGGTTTGCAGAAAAATGTTAGCTAGCAGTCTTCAATCACTATTTGGAGGAAATACTATTTCTGCAGTCTAAGAAAACACCACTACCATTAACAAAAAAAACTCTTAAAATAATTGTAGAGTGCATCATAAAGGGGTGCACAAAACAAATAATAATTGAAGACTCAGCTAATGCCAAGGAGGTTCAAATCACTTAAGAGCTAATTCACTATTATCCTCATGTGCTATATCCATGAAGCTGACAATACTGACACCGTGGGTGCATGAAGGACTAGCCTACAGATTTGTACAGCACACTGGAGGACAGGGAGCCCCACCCATTCTTTGTGTGTCCCTTTCACCTCCTCAGCATGCAGGCTTCCAAGGAGTGGGATAAATGCACAGTCTCTAGAGTGAGGAAGTCTGCACTGGCTTCAGGTCTCTTAGAAGGTATGGAAATCAGGTATGTATAGGGTCTCTATCTTCCAGAATATTTGAGGCCAGGGCAAGATTCCTTACTCCAGAAACTATGCATGACCCTCTCTGAGTCAAGCTGCATAATTTCTAGTTATCTGAGTTAACCAGCCAGTATTATCATGCTCCAGGCAGAATGGATGCTAAAAGCCTTTCTGGGTGATGCCTGACCTCTCTGTCCACTAATGTCATTCCTATCTCATTATACACTGCAAGAAAACACGGTGGACCAACATTACCTAAGTTGACACTCTCACATTTTACAGGCTTTATATTGTTCCTCCAATATCTGAAGTCAGCATATTGCTGAGAAATACAAAGACAGAAAAATCACAAGCAACAAAAAAAACTTGCATTGAAAAAGAAAAAAGACATGTCAAATCAGTTCTCTCTAACCACAAAGACATACGAGTAGGCAGAGATTGGGATTAAGAGCAAAATACTTTAGTACACTTTACAGCTTCCCACAAGTACTAGTGGCATTTTTCAAATACTATTACACGGGTTCCATTTAGATTTTCCCCTTTTCCAGATGGATTCCAAATTCACCATATGAAACAAAGTTTTTACAGAATAAAACTCTTCTGCACTGGAAACAGTGAGAAGGCTGACCTAGAGTCCTCCCTCAGGGTTACTCTCATGCCCACCAATTCCTTGGAGCCAATAAGCCTGTTTCAATTGGACCAAAGGATTTTCTTCCCATCAGCAGTGGAAAGGCCCTACAACAATCCTCAGGAGTTTTTATTCTAGGCAAGTCCCTTCACAGCAATGATCACAGATGCTCAGGGGTGGTGGGTCTCTGCCACTGACCTGTGCCGATTTTTATTCTTTCGTTTTTTATGGCTGCTGTGATGACTCCCTGAGGAAGTAGAGGAGGCAGCCTTCTGAGGTTTCACTCCCTGCACAGATCCATCCAGATCCTCGGGGTCCTCCTGGCTGGGCTCATTTTCCTGATTGTGGAAGTCTGGAGAAGTGTCACTTTCTGTTCCACTTCCTGGTTCCCCTGGAGGGAATAAAACACAGGTACCCAACCCCATCATCAATACTCCTCAGACCATCCATCACCAGGAAAGATTTGTTGAGCACTAATTCCCTATCCTCAAGGACCATACATTCCTTTTTTTTTTTTTTAAAGATTTTATAGCTTTTATTTTATAATTTTAATCATGAGATAGAAATGCAAACTCACTGGTTTATAAAAGATAGTTGAATCCAAAATATTTTTTGGGTAAAGTTTTCGTACTTTTCTCTGGTAATTCACATGGATTCACAACTCTCAATTTGAGGAGAAGATCCAAATATACAATGTCTTTCCACTCTAATCTTGAGGACTCAGTTCCAGTTCCAACTGTCTCCTTCATTTTGTTTACTTGAGGCTCCACGTTAGGGCGCCACTTGCTGGAGACCAGCTCCAGCCGGGTTCAAGGTACCCCAAAGGTGGAGATGGCGGCAGCGATTGGGGAGAAGAAGAAAGAGAGAAAGAAAGAGACTGGACTCCAGTCTAGTGAAGAAGCGAAGTGTGGACCATACATTCTAATTGTCAAAGAAGACACAGGCAAAGCATCCAAGTTACCAGAAATCCTAAGAAACATATAATCTGCAACACATAACCAGAGGCAACAGCTCTAAGGACAGCTGGGAGATAGGAACATATAACCAGTATAACCTCACTGAAAAAGGCCATCGAAACACAGAATATACTGATAGGAATAATACTTATACTGAATTTGCTGAAAATATCAGATAGGTCTCCAGGGGGGTAAGGAATGATCTTGGGGAAAACAGCTTGTAGCAGGTTCTGGCTCCTTCCCCAAACCAAACAGGAATCCTGCCTTTCTGTCAAGAAAAAGGAACTAAGAGGGAGAAGAGTTCATTCCTGAACTACTCTAGTATTTTCTTTTTTTAATAGAAATGAGGTCTCGCTATGTTGCCCAGGTTAGTCTCGAACTCCTGGGTTCAAGCGATCCTCTCGCCTCAGTCTCCCAAAGTGCTGAGACTACAGGCATGAGCCACTGCACCTGGCCTAATCTAAGTCTCAAGAATGTTTTTTTAAAAACAGTAATACTCTTCACATATTCTCAATGTTAAAACATCATATATAGCCAGGCTCGGTGGCTCAGCCTGTGATCCCGCACTTTGGGAGGCTGAGGTGAGTGGATTGCCTGAGCCCGCAGGTTCAAGACCCG